GCCCTCAGTGCTCTGCTTCCTTCTAGGCTGTCAGCGACCCAGTAGAGGGTGAGGATCCGAGGCTAGCGTTTACCCTGGTAACCTGTGCCTCAAAGATGCAACACAGACATTTCACGTTGAGCCACAGAAGTCCTCACACACTGGGCAGTTGACACACGGTGTTAGTGGGGGTGGCAGGAAAAGAAGAGGCCGCTTCCGGGCCGCCAGCTTCTTTCCCGGGGGAGGGCAGGGGACGGGCCGAATCCCCTGCTCCGGGAACCGAGGCCGGGTCATGCTCTCCCTGGAGCACAGTGCGCTGCCGTTCGCTGGCCCTGGGGCTCCCCGGCGACCGCGTGCTGCCTCGGAGGTTGCTGGAATCTCCGGCCGTAGGCAATCGGGATGAACCGCTCGCTCAGCACTGGAGTGTTTCATCACCCTGCTGGTGGGCAGTGACTTAAGTTTTGGTAACACACCTCAGCTTTTTCCATCGAGGTGCCCCACAGCCTGGCTTCGTACCTTGTATGAGTGTGGGTTGACTCTTCCAGAGGATTGACTCCTTTGGTGCGGCCACGCTCCATGGCCTCGCCCTCGGCTTTTTGTGGTGTCCCTTTGCTTAATTTTTCTAAAACTTATCTAACGTGGTCTCAGCTCCAAGGCAAGAAAAAAAATTGTAACAGTTAAACACAAAAATACTGAGGGCCCGGGATTTAGCTCAGTGGTTCTGCGGCCTGCCTCACAAGCACAAGGTCCCGACTTCGATCTCCGGCACCAAAAATACTGTAGTGAACTCTACCCCCATCTAGGTCATTAACAGAAATACACCATTGGCCTGGCGTCTTGGCACACACCTGTAATCCCAGCACTTGGGAGGCTGAGGCAGGAGGATTGCCATGAGTTGGAGGCCAGCCTGAATAGCGAGACCCTGTCTCCCTGCACCCCCCAAAAAATTTCTTTCATAGCACCTGCAAAAGTTTCAGAACCTTTCAACCAAAGCATATGTAGATAAGTGTGCTAACCAAAGTAAAGACATCAAGATACTGAATTTCCTTCCTTGCTCACTTTCTCAGTACCAATACTCAGGAATCTTGCACTTGTGAGGTAGGCATGGTGTCACTAAGCTGCATCCGCAGGGGCCCTTGCTCACTTTTTTTTTTCTTTTCACCCTAAGACATGGAGATTCAACCCAATCCTCAGGCATGCTAGGCAGCTTCTACACCACTGAACTGCATTCCAAGCCCAGTCCTTTGTTTTGTTTTGCTTTTTTGAGACGGTTTTGCTATGTAGTCTAGAGGCTGGCCTCGAACTCTCAGCAATCCTCCTGCCTCGGACTCCCAAGAGCTAGGATTACAGGTGTGCACCACCAGGCCTGGCAACCTTTTTTTGACACAGTGTCAACTGCCTTCTGAACCAGCCTCTACCACCATTGTGTAGCCCAGGCTATCTAGCCTTCTGCCTTAGCTTCCTGAGGGCTGGGATTACAGGCACATGCTACCCCACCCAACTCAGAGTCTTTTAATATATTTTGCAAAGTACAGTTGCAAAATGCCTAGCCATGTCCTATTGTAAATCAACCTGGGAGGAATGAGCAGCCTAACAGTTCTCTCTGCTCACTGGAATTTCCCTGCCAGCTGTGACTTTCACCCTCCAAATCAACACTGCAGCACATAATTACTTACTCTAGGCACCTGGGAGCCAGTGCCGCAGTCAAGATTTGACAAGAGTAAATCTAATACCCTAAATCACACACCAACAATACTTACGCTTTTCCAAATGCCTCAGGGTTTTCAGGAAACACCTAAGGGACATTTTTAAAGTCCAGTGATTTAGCTCAGTGGTGCTGCCTGCCTTGCAAGTGCAAGGTCCTGAGTTTGATCCCCACTACCAAAAAAAAAAAGTCCAAATTTCTCACTGGGCATGGTGGTGCATGCCTGCAATCCCAGCACTCTAGAAGCAGAAGAAAGAGGATTGCAGTGTTTGAAGCCAGCCTGAGCTATGAGTTCAAGGACAGTCTGAACTACATAGTGAGAATCTGTCTCTAAAACAGAATCATAATTTCTCTATTTTTAAAAAATTTTTAAGATAATTCGTGTTTCTCTTAGACTTTCAGCTACATAGTCCATTAATGTTGCAGGGACTTAGTTTTAAATAAGCGACACAGAAAAGGGGAGAGGAAAACTAAATAAACAAATCTGCACCGTTGAGGACAAATCCAGTAAATAGGATGTCATCAGCTGATTGGTATATACCTGACACAAGTGTCTTCAGCTAGGAACCCTTGAGGTCTGATTACAGAGTGATGCCGGTCCACCCACACATCTAAAAGTTATTTAAGAGATCAAGCTAGAGCCTTCCCGCCTTTAGCCTTTAGGAGGAAGCTTGGTGTAGGGAAATGTCCTTCCCACACCATGGCGTTTCCCAGCAGCTTCTTCCTTTGGTTTTACTGCTTTGCCTGGCTGAGTTGTATTAATCTTGGTTGTCGGGCATCAAGCGAAGAGTCACAGCTCACAGCGAGTGCCAAGCTGGAACCTGGACCAGAGCCTTGGTCCTTGCTGCAGCCTGTAGATGGGGATCCCCGCTCTGACCTCCTTCCGCCCCTCTTCAAGGTCCTGTCTGGCAGTCGAAGTGGGCCCCCTAGGCTTCAGCCAGACTCCAGAGCTCTGCACTACATGAAGAAGCTCTATAAGACCTATGCCACCAAGGAGGGGATCCCTAAATCCAGTAGAAGTCACCTTTGCAACACTGTGCGACTCTTCACCCCTTACCCCCTGAAGAAGTATGCTTCCGGAGACCAGGAGACAGGTGTGTGGGAGCAGCTTGCTTAACTGGCTGGAGGGATGGTAGAAGTGTCTTCACCGCAGTTACAGAACAGAACTGGGCTTTGCTTCTTGAATTGCATTTTACTTTGCATGATACTGTCTTGTCGAAAACAAATTTGATACTTGATCTGATTGTAGTGGGCTAATTTACTAGAATTTTAGACCTGAAAGGGACTTCATGGCTTTGAAGGAAGGCTTTTAAAGTGCTGGAGAAGGTTAGCGTCACTTTCTATGCTACCTAGCTGTTGAACGTGCGCTGGAACATCTCGGATAGCCATTAGTATGCTACATCAAACAGGGTATTTCCTCTTTCGTGTTGCCTTTTTTGTGGGGTGGGAAGTTATGGGATTAAAACTCCAGAGTTTGCACTTAAAAGGCAGGCAACAGCACCACTGAGCTAAATTCCTGGCCCCATGTTGCTTTCTGTGTGAGGAAAGCTAAACTCCCCCTGGGTACAGCAGGTTTTACAAGAACAAAGTGCATGTAGCTCAGTGGTAGAGTTCATGCCTAGCATGTTGAGGCCCTGGGTTCAATCCCAGCACCCTCTGAAAACCCTGCAAAGTTTTAGTCCATAATCGGAGCAGCTTGAGGTGTTGTGTGTGAGAGTGGAGTAATGCTTTAAAAAGCTATACTCTCCAGCTCATGACATATAAATCATTCTGACTGAACAGGACAGTTGTGCCTGTTTAAAACACATTCCTCCTCCTCTATGTGCTATTTTACTGCAGTGATGGTAAAAAGCTCCATTTGTTTTTCAGTCCCAGATGTTCCAAATTAACTTGTGCAATCAAATGTCTTTAATTGTCTTCATTCACCAGGACATAGAATGTCTTAAGCCTGGTGAGCGTTTTGGTTTAGTTTAGTTTTGTTTTGTTTTGTTTGAGACAGGGTCTCACTATGTAGTCCAGGCTGGCCTCAAACTCACAGCCCGATTCTCCTGCCTTGGCCTCCTGATTGCTGGGATTACAGGCGTGTGCCACCACGCCTGGCAAGTGTTTAGAATTACTAGGATGATTTTTCTTTGTGTAGATTTGCCAAAAGAAAAGCACTACTTTCCTCCTCAGCTTCTGTCTGAGCGAGTTGTTCCAACTGGTACCCTCTGGTTTTAACTCACCATCAGGCTCTTCTGACTTTTCTAGGGAGCACCGGCCCAGGCGTGGCTGCTGGGAATTTGGTCAGATACCAGTTCCCTTTTCTCTGTGTATTCTCCTCCTCTCCCTCTCGCTTCTGAGCCTTGAGGGAAAGAGAAGAGAGAAGACATGTTACTTTTTGTGGTACAGGGGAGGGGACCCAGGGCCTGGTGCATGCTAGCAAAGTGCTGTCCCACTGAGCCACAGCGTGACTTCCTGGCTCGCCTGGTCTGTGTGCAAGCACCGCTGATGGGTGGTTTTTCTTCTCAGGAATCTTTCCGCCAGCGGACCTGCTGTTTAACTTGGATCGCGTTGCTGCCGTCGAACGCTTACTCAAATCTGTCTTGCTATACACGCTCAACAACTCCGTTTCTTTTCCCTCCGCTGGTAAATGTGTGTGCAGCCTGGTGCTGACAGAGCCAAGGGCTTCCGGCAAGACTCCCCCCCGAGGTCCCTACTCCGTCACCTCCAGCTCCCAGTTGGAACTGAGAAAGAATTCCAGATGGATTGAGGTTGATGTGACCTCCCTCCTGCAGCCTCTGGTGGCTGCCAGCCAGAGGAGTATCCACATGTCTGTCAACTTCACCTGTCCGACGGACCCGCCGAAGCACGTAGCGGAGGCTCGAGAGGGCCTGTTCGGCTCGCTGCTCCGCGTGCCCCCCTCGCTCCTCCTGTACCTGAACGACACGAGCGCCCAGGCCCACCACGGCTGGTATTCCTTTCGCTACAGCAAGAGGTCTCCGCGGCGTCCCGGCCAGCGCCAAGGTGTGGCTGCCTGCCCCGCGCGCCAGGGGCCCGCCCAGGGCAGAAGAGCTCCCTGTCCCCGTCCCCGTCCCCGTCTCCGGAGAGGCCGGGAAACCCTC